CCAGAGAATCGTAAAAGTGCCAGGGCATGGCCACTGAAATCATCTCCACCTGCCAATTTATTACTAACACATACTAGCATGCTAGGGGGTTTGACGAATCGTCTCGAGATGTGCCTAGTCAACCTTCTGGGGCTGGAGGCACACATTGCAGTAAAGGCAGATTATGTAGTACAAAGCACATCAAGTGCTGATAATGAGATCATGCGAGCTCGAAATTGCTTGTACAGGATCTGCAAACATTGAAAATTGGCTATGAGGATCAGAATATGCTAAAAATACTCCAAACCTCATTTAATTCTTGACTAAACTTTTTTATTTGGGAGCACCGGGACTCACATAAGGTATCAAAGCATACTTTACAACATTAATGTTGACAGTTTACTAAGTAGAGCACAGACATATGCAACTCCGGGTAGATTACCTACTCCTCCATTACTTTTGGATTTCGGCTGTGCGAAGAGTGTTTTTATTTAGTGCATTCCACTTAAAATTTACTGCTGTGCAAAGTTCATTAACCTTAAGAAATATTCTGTTCTTTAATCAATGGCTAATCTTATTTTATTTTTTTTTCATTATACTAAAGTAATAAACTTTTTAGTGTTGGTTTGCTCTTGTTTTCTCAATTTAGTCGGAGCTTCAGGGAAACCTTGTGGAACGTACCTAGTTCCGTGTCCTCTGCCAGAGTATTCGTTATTTCCAGCATTGGACCATTGGCTGGGTGTCATTCTAAAACGTTTTGCCGGCATTATCGACGGCATCGCCAGTGAGCGGCGCCATCGTAAACGCAGAGTTACAACTTATCACTTTGATAAGTTATAACTCTGTGCTTACGATTGCGCTTCTCACTGAAGATGCCGGCAAAACGTTTGGGAATGTACCCAACCAACGGTCAAATGCTGAAAATCACGAATACTCTGGCAGAGGACACGGGACTAGGTACGTTACACAAGGTCTTCCTGACGTTCCAACCAAGTTAAAAAAAAACAAGGTCAAACCAACGCTATAAAGCTAACGGAGACTGCGACCAAACAGAAGGTCATGCCATTTTGGTCTTCATATCTACAAAATAATTAAACTTTTGTCCATGAGAAGTACCGTTATTTGTCTCATAATAATTTCAGTTAAGATGATTAAGAGTTAAGGAAGAGGTCTATTTTTGCTACTCAATTGCATTACTCCTTTTAACCTAGAGTGGGCTGCCTCCCCAGCATGGAGAATAGTTTTGATCCAGTTTAGGTTGTTTCAGCAACCCAGACTATGACGAAGCACAGAGTGTGTAAGTCTAGAGACAAACGTATTGGAGTTGGGCAAAGCTATTTGATATTTTAAAACTTAATCATGGAAACCAGATATTTGGCAGCAATCACATGATGGCATATTTCAAATTTTTTTTCTTTTTTCATTAGCTTTACAGGGGCAATTCTTGTGGAACGCAGTGACCCCAGTCATAACGTTTCTTCAACTCTGGATAATGCCAGCATGATGACGAATCTACTTCCTTTCTCCGGTTTTCCGCCTCCAGCCAACCAAGCCTTGCCAGGGACTGCCTGGACGGTTGGACTGCTGGGGCCTAACAATAACACGCCGCCTGCACCTCCTTCAGCATCGTCATCACTCAATTTTCTGAGCCTAGGTTCCCTGTTCGCTATCATTAGCACCCTATTCTTTGCTGTCTTTGTTCTCCTTGTGCAGCACACGTTCTTGGAAAAGCGGCGACTTCGGCGACAGCTAAAATTGGCCGATTGCCATCGGCATGGGGAATCCACCGGTCAAATGCAGCTGTATACTGGAACTAATCTTGAGGTATAAACCTGTAATATTTGCACTCATCATGACTCAATAATGAATACTCACTAAAGTAAAGAATGAGAGCGTAGGTATGAAGATTGAGATGGTATAGTCTTCTGTTTGGTTGATGGGCTGATGCTGGAAATCACAATTACTCTGGCAGAGTATGCAGGACTGGGTGCACCTCGCAAGGTTTCCCTATTATTCTGACTAAATTGCGAAAACGAGTTCAAACCAACACCAAAAAATGAGAAGTTGAGTGATGGATTTATCGCTATTTCTTAACTACTTATCTTTATCAGTATAGGAAAAAGGGTTTTAGTTTCCTCAATAATTCAATCACAATAAAGGATTATTTGAAAGGGAATGGGCTTACATATATGGCTATCAAATGGGAGAACCAATGGTCTAAGCACTGCGTATTTGTGATGTGAGTAATCCTTCAGGATTGGTAAATGTTTGAGTCCTACGCGCCAAAAAATCAACGCTTATTGCAGCGTTTACATCCGAAATAGTCTTTGTTTTTACATACTACTTTAACCCCTTACTGGCTAAATCTATCTTCTTGTGACTCGGCTCTTTGATCTAGTTCCTTCGCGTAGTCATACCACTAGCTCAGGCCTTTAAGAAATTTCTTATCCTAGTATTGTTCAGCACTCACTAGCCTACCTCGAGTTGCACTTTAGATGTGCATAAACGTGTTCCTTAGAGCTAATTGGGT